TTACCAATAGGAGTTAACAGTTAGGAAGTGGATGCTACAGTTCAAATAATTAAGGTCTCATTAAAAGTCACCACATGATTACATTTAGCATATTTCATGTTTGTTGGTAATTAGAGAATGTGTTTTACTTTCAAAAGTTAGACAGTTAGGTACAGTATGATAATTATATGGCCATCTTGACGGAGACTAGAGGTCACAGGACTGAGGTAGACTGTATATATTGTTCACCGCCCATGTTCCAATCAGATCAGGCCTAACATGCACCCTGAACTCAGAATGGTGAAAAACTGCATGATTTAGAAAGAATTTTGGCTAGGGGACTGGCTACTGGCTTGCAGATTAGAGAGTTTAATGTGGAAAATGATGACCATGTTAATATCGATATATACCCTGGGACACCTAGCCTAGAACTAACTATGCTCTGAATAATTCAAACAAATAGTTTTGATACAACATATAATATGATCTTAGAAGTATGAACATGTATCCAGTAACTTACCAAGATATAAACTTCTGAGACTACAGTAATGATTATGGAGATGGATTTTTATCAGCCTAAACAATGTTGACTGGATTATGTCCTGGGGGTTTCACTCCAATATACTTCTTAATACCTATGTGCCGCCCCAAATATGTGGAGTGAACCCCCCGGGGATTATGTTAGATCAAAGGATCATCTCAAATTCAAAATGTGTCAATGAAGCTCTCTTTTAAATATGTACAATCAAACTATTGGACAGGGTAATCAATACACAAAAGGTCATGAAACGCAAAGTAACATAAAGCACAGCATTAAGGTAAGACTTTGTTTCTATTAATCAAAACATATGTGTCAATTGTACATGGATGGAATACAAAAACTGATGCTGAATGATCGCTACCCAAACATTTACCTTTGCAGTTTTATAATAATGTCAGTACTGCAGAATAGATGATACTGACATAACACTGATTGATTATTGGAATATGCAGTATAGAATATACAAATTAGAAAATATGGGTTATCAAAATAGTGTAATGACAGTATCAAGTGAGATTACAGTTAATGAAGATCAAACCCCAAAGAAATGGCTGAAATTGAACAACATATTTACATAAAGCCAATAAGGCTAATGGACTTTGATTTTTAGTTTTGCAGAGGCAATGTGGCCTCATATACGCATCACCCATATTTGAGTAGTGATTGACAGTCTTGAGTAAGACTATTACTCTTTAAGTGTACGAGTAGACTTTTTTTTTATCTAAAAGCAAAGAAAAACTAGTAACTGCTGCCTATTAAAAAGTTTAATTTGTTCATATATAAAGATGATAAATATAAGATCAAAGTCTATTGGCTTTATGTGCTTGGCAAATTTTTATGGTTCGGCTACTAGCATAAACCTTCAGCCACTGGGTATTGAAATATATAGTGGGGGAGGGGGAGGATGGAGGCTTTTGCAAGACTACAACATGGTCACAGACTCATGTTATAAATCTCTATATACAATAAAGCCGCCTTAATAATAGCCAATTGTTAAAGAGATCGGGTCTCCTTAAAAACACAATTAGAGTAACCCCCTGATTTTTTCGTGTTATTTGATGTAAAACAAGTTTGTTTATCAACTTATCAATTCTGAGGCTTGAATTAATTTGTTAACTGTATCAATTCGATGATTGTTCCCAGCCATGAATTTCCACTTTCATCAATAGAAATTCAAATTAAATTTAAAAAGCCTGCTGTTTGTTCCAGCCTGATTGGCTTTTTCCTTCAGATTATTTTGGCTTAGAGAAGTCATATTTATTACTTCTAAGGGGTTACAATATAGATAAATCCCCCCAAAAACATTGTATTCTGTTTTCGACTTATTGCGTTCAATTCTGACAGTTGGTTGTTCTTTTGGTTGTCCTGTTGATATCCTCAATATATTGTTGATATCGTGCTTATGATTTGGTCTCAAGGTATATCTAAGGTATATATGATGTTTTATGAGCAATTATATTGGGACATTACTGATTGTCCAGAATAGAAATCTGGACGACTCGATCTCTTTAAAACAACTCAGGCATAGTTAGTGCTAAATCTCCATTCTGAAATTACTGATGGGCCTAAAAGCTAATCAAGGAGTAGATTCTTCTCTGAATATGAACAGTTTAAGGCGTTCACTTTTGACAGGTAAACCAGGCAGTTATGCAACAAGCAATATGTTCAGTAATATCAGCTACATTAATTCAAGAATATTTATAAGTAAGCCTGGTATTAATCTTTCCTGACAGCAAAGGTTTACTTATGGATGATATCTAAATATTAAAAGTTGTGGTAAATGAAATTTGATTTTGATATTTTCTCTCATCCATTCATCATAATTTGATGAAGACTGGAATTCGAAAAAGTTGTTTTGCTTTCATTTAAATTGAAAAATCAACATTTCTACAAGCACAATGTCTTGTTCCAGGTTCTTCTACAATTGTTGATAATTCTCCCTTTCGCGATTCGCTCTTTGAATCAGAACGTTCGCAAATATGTCCTGAAAAAGCAATCAAAAAGGACAAAATTTGATTGGTCAATATTTTCTCACTATGCATTCCGCGTAGCTATTTGCGTGACCCGAAAGTTCTAAATCAAACTAATTACGCAATTTGTTTTTACACCCGCACGCTAAATAAAACAATGACAACATCGGAAGTATTCTTCTTTGTCATTGCTTTAATAGTCAGTATACCGAGTTTTAATCAATAAAAGATTGTACAATTAACAACAAAATTCGGAAACGAGTACTATAGCTTTGCTTTCGAACCACTGAACAGAGTGACCTAGATAATAGCGACGCTTCTTCTTTGGTCTACTGCTCAGTTATTTGTTGGTTTTCAACGTAACTCTATGATGTAATTTGAAGATGAATACTTTTATTCAGTTGTTGCATCGATGTTGCAGTTTGTAGTGCGGTAAGATTGGCATGAAAGTATTGAAAGTCGAATGGAATTGTTTTTTCCAATATGGCGACTAGTCAACTGATCATGTGACCTTCTCTTCCGGAATATTTTCTCACTTTTCAATCATCGTTTTCACCACGCTATGAATCAATACAATGAAAAAAATAGCTGTTATATTAAGATTAATAAGAGATCAATCGTTTCTAATAATTTTTTCTGTACCCTCGTACGGGGATATGAACGAATATATCGTTTGAAAAATAGGTGTGAAAATCCCCATGTTAAACCAATGAGGGAAAACAAGGAAGTATAAATTTGTTCCTCCGCGAACTGCATCATGGGAAATATTTTGACCTTATATGGAAAGATTTTCGCGTCTCCTCTTTTGAAGAGGGAACAGCGATTTCGAAAATTGAGCACCATCCCTTATAAATTCTATAGATGAATCAAAGAGTAAAATACTTGATAACAAAAACATTCAAGGTAATATTCAAATTGCAAAATATGTGATATATGAATATATAGTAAAAACTGGAATATATAGTGAAAAGTGGAACACCTCTGTAAACAGAACACCTTTTCATGATCCCAAGGTTGCTTTACTTACAGAGGTTTAACTGTACTCTAATGGCCATAAAGTGTGCTAATATTGGAGTCAATCTACATATATCAATTTTCTCTACATTATTTTGTCAATATTTCTTGGTATTAAAAATCACTATATTTATACCATCCTGGTTATATAGAGGTTATCTTGCACTCATCAATTTTCTGAACTATGGTCTTAAAGGGAATCATGGATGCAATACTATGTAATAATGATACTATAATTATTATACATTTGGATTCGCCTCATAGTTATGATTTGTACTGGTAGAAATATTAATTATCACCACATTGTGAGCCTGGTCTCAGGGTATGAGTACAAGCTTAGAAGGCTTATATTTTATGATATTGACTTGAGCAATAGTACCCTTTGCATTCGTTTGACTTCACTTCTTAAAAGAGAGCTTCATCTTCAGTAGTTTAACTAGACTCTGCACGCAGGGTAGAGCAATAGGTGGAACCATAGTGGTCATTATCCACCCTGGTCTAGAACAGATAATGAGTTTGTACTGAATAGGTGGTGATAATCGGCCCTCGGCTGACAAGATTCCAGTATGTAGCCCTTTGGGTACCCTGCGTGCAGAGTCTAGTTAAACTACGAAGACGAAGCTCTCTTTTAAGAAGTGAAGTCAAACGAATGCAAAGGGTACCCTTTGGTCTTTTTCATATCAGCCCTTAGCAAAGAATTTCATTTCATTCAGTGTTTTCATAAAATTGGCCTTTGAATTGAAGTTATTGGTACATTATATAAGTACCTTTTGATTCAACTTCACATTATTCAAGAATCAATGATTCCTTTCTTGTTTTACAAGAAGGAAATTAAATTAAAAGCTGTCATCTTATAGGATTCATATTCGCAATATGATGTTATCATCTGACTAGAGTCATCACGATGCATATCAGCTTATTAAATGGAGATACATATATTCTGGTTATTACTTATTATTAATAAATGTTACAGAGCAAAGAAAATAAATAATAATTATCTTTTCCCAATCAAGCTTTGATTAGAATTTCAGGTGGTTTTCAGGTAGATTATCACAGAAAACTAACAGACATAATATCACCAAAGAGAAGATTTTCAGAGAGAAACTACCAAAGAGAAGATTTTCAGAGAGAAAATTAATAAAGAGAAGATTGGAAGAATATTAGAGAGCTGATTTCCAGAGGTTAACAAATGCGTCGCAGTATCACCAATGAGAAGATTTCCAGAGAGAATATTATCAGAGAAGATTATCAAAGACAAGATGGTAAGAGAAGAATATTAGAAAGCTGATTTCCAGAGGTTAACAAACGCAATATCACTGATGAGAAGATTTCCAGATAGATTATTACCAAAGAAAATATTATCAGAAACAAAACTACCAGAGAAGATTAACAGAAAGAAAACGTCCATGAAATGTTTATCAGGTCAATTAAATCACTGCTTTAAGTACGGACTAAATATCAACAAACCCTAGTAATATAGAAGTGAGATCATTTACCTGCAGTTTGGTGGAGGGTCCAAGGTAATATCTGCCAGTTCTTTCTGAATCCTGCAAAAAATAAATATACAAGTTCTTATAAATGTTATTAACAAAAATTTGTTATAGCAATAAAATTCTAAGGAAGAAGCTCTCATATCCTGATGTGTGGTCAGTGGATATCCACAGTTCAATACACTTTTATCTATAATTCAATACACTTTAATCTTTATTTATATATTGTCAGGAGTCAGTATGGGAAGAAAGTCACTGCTGTTACCTTCTTTTTCAAAATGACGGTGTTTATAGTTAGTTGAATTTGATATTCTTATGCTTTAATGTATTAAACTACTAGTGGTAGACATTTGGCTTTGAAATTTTGACCATTTGTTATTGTTTCTCAAGGGCATCGTTGAACAATTTATTACGGTGACAAGTTGACAATCTCACTAACTAAAAAGTCTGCTCAAAATAAATCTCATACTTCTTACAAAATTCATAAATCACTTCAAATGAACTTCAACATGATCTCTTATAATATACTACAGTACTGATGATATTGAATATCAAATTACTTAGATGCTACTTAGGTATATGACAGTAAAGACTATTTTATTTTGTGATATTAGTCAATATCATGGTATTAACCCCATCTTCCATTGTCTGAACAAGGTGAAGAACGAGCATGTGAAGTTTAATCTTTATCACTTCTTCAACTGGCACATCTCAGCATGGGGGAGGGAGAATAAGCCTCATTAAAATAATAATCTAACAGTTTTTTCAGAAGGGATTTTGAGTGAATTTACAGATCTTAGCCCCTGCATCTGTTCTCTTGGAAGTCCTTATAGAAATTGGAGAACCAAAGGGCACTATAGCTTAGTTTGTTCTTTTTGTACATCATAACAAAACGAAAGAACATTAGGTCAATGTAACACAGACTGTTTGATATGTTTGGCAATCTATTACTCGTTAACCAGTTAGCATTATACACTAAACATCTCAATTTCTCATCTATATCCTTTTTAGTTAAACCTGCACATCGCTCCAAAACGCAATATGTTGACATATATTGTTTTTACATTTTCAAGCTCTAATATAAAGTTTACGGAAATAAAAATTGTTTTTCTGCGTAATGTCAAAGAACAATCATTTAGTCAAAAAAAATAAAAAAGTGAGTGTGGGATTTGAACCTAGGCGTGCTGAGCGATTTTGAATGGTAAGAGTAATTAAACGTTAGTTAAGTTGGATGCTATAATTCGGAAGTGACGTCACGTTCTTAATTTAGAAACCTTTCCAAAATCATATCGTCTTCACCAATCGAAGCAATTCAATGAACAATCTTTGAAATGACACATTTATCGTAAGTATTTATACATAAGATTTGCCCCATTTGTTCATCATTCCAAAATCTTTCATTAGGCTCAAAATGATAAAGTTCACCCCCGAAACAACCCAAGATTGCGTTTCGGGGCAAACAGCAGCTTTAACTAGATTGTGAAACAAGACACACATACATAAATATTGCACTTCAGATTCAAAATGGCCCCCTTGTTGATTACCCAGCATGCCCAAAAACTAGTTAGAGTGCCGCACTAGTCAGTACTCTGTTTTTGCATTTGTTAAAGTTTCAAGTTAAACAGATGAATGGTTTCTTGCAATCTCAGTGACAAATTTTTAATACCGACCATAAGTCTACATGCTCTATCAGCGCAAGATGACTACATTATTGATAGCACTTTTTAAGTGCAATGAAAATATCTGGGTTTCAAACCAGAACCTTTAGGCTCCTTAGAATAATTCAACTGCAGGTTATACAACCCTTGGATTACTATTAAGAATAACAATCTCTGACTATGACAGATCAATTTTTGTTTTTCATTCAACCAATCAGGGAGTACCACAAACTAATAAGCTACTTATTTATTACAATGACAGAAACACGAAAAGCTCCTACATTCAAAAGTTCAGTGGCTCCAACATTCAAAAGTTCATTACTTAATATAGAGTCAATCATTCCTGCAAAGGTTCGTTACAAGTGTGAATAATTCAGCTTTATACTACTAAAGATATATTAACATTGGATTGACTTCTCTTGCAGAATGAAGCAAATTATTATATTCTAATCATTATGTTCCCTTGTCTGGTGAAAAACTTAACAACGATTATGTTTCACAAGCTTGACTGTTGCTAAAGGAATAGCAAGGGAAGCATTGCAACAACACCTAACTAAATGTATTTTCAAGAAAATGGTTAAGTGTACAGAGGATGATAATTAACACAAGGGCAAACTAGAATACTGATGCGCTAGTGCCTTGGACTTTCTAAATCCAACACAGGTTTCAACAGCAAATGATTTCAACTGTATATTTCAAATGCACATATCGATGGTTTCTACAATATCTCAAATGGTCTACCGAACATCTCTCCAGTGAACAACCGTCCCTAGTGATACCATTTCTTGGAACATATTCAATATATGACTAAGATTGATTTCACCAGCATTAAAGTAATCCCAATACTGGAAACTATATAGTTTAAATACAAGTATACAGTAAAACCTGTATAACCTGAATGCTTCTGTGACCAGAAAAAATGTTTGGATTAGTAGATGCTCACATTTCACAGATTTTTAAACATGTAAGTCAATGGGAGTATACAATATTGGAACCAAGAAAAAATGTTCACATTGAAATAATGTTCGGATTAGAGAGGTATTTGGATATACAGGTTTCACTGTCTTGGTTTTACTAGATACATATGTTTAAATGATGCATTATAAAGAAGCTTGAACTGCTATTTGATAACAAAGCATGTTATGATTTGAGCTCATTATGTTATAGCAGTTCCATACTAGCCGAGTCAATTAATCATGAGCTCAAAAGCAAGTTGTCTAATAATGAAGCATTTTTATTCCTTTCAGAATTAAGATGTGCCATTGACCTTTATTATGAATATTCCATTGGCTATGAAATAACTCTGTGTATCAATATGGTATAAAAGGCGAACTGTTGTATTAGCACAATAACTGAAGAATAGAAGAACTATGCCATGTCAAAATATAGTATCAAACATATGATGACCAGAGATCCGAGATAAACTTATAGAATGCTATCTTAAATTGGTTTAACTCTCAACTTTGTTCTTCAAATATACCAAAATTAAATGACCTGTCTTATTAACTTTTATAAATCATATTATATTAGGCCAGGGGGTCATCATGCTAGCGACATGAAATGGGTTTTAACAAAATTAATACACTTTTCTCTGTCACTCCATATTTTAAAATTAATTCAAGCTTCAACCTTACATTTAAAGGGTTCCGATAAGCATCCCGTATAAAAACAATATGGCGGCTCCAGGCGAATCGACTGGATCAGTCCATTTTTAAGAAATAAGGGGAGTTCTGTAAAATCCAGTTTATTGAAATTGTCTTTGAGATAAAGTAATCCGTTTATAATGATTTTGAAAACATTATCCATAGACTGATTGCGTTCAAAGAATATGTACAACAGCCAATATAAATCCTTGTATTAGAACTGCTTTGTTTCATTTGTAGGATATTTCATATACCAAGCTGTGGGCTATTACGTTATGGGGAAATTTAGATGTCAATTTTTCCTTATTATACACAAATAGAAGATCCTGAAACTTCACCCATAAATGTGGAATTGATTTGTCAAAATAAAAATCACCGTTTCATAAATATGTGACGATCTATAATATACTTATGCTATATAACAGTTAGAGGTGTTGACACAACGACCTCGAGCCTGTGAACCCTTGAGTATTATTCCGGGATCGAGCCTTTTATACTAAACGGTGAGCAACACCAGAAACGAGCGTTCGATTTGCTAAACGATATGCGTCACCCTTTAAAGGGTTTTAGAAAGACCAAAATATAGAGAATTTACAAATCCTAAACCAAAATTTACAAAATATAGTGATGCCTTAAACCAATGGTTTTGTGAGTCTTGTATTAAATGTTCTGGGAGGTCTTATACCTTTAACTTGACAGTATATAAGGTTGGAAAAATAATATATGGGGAAGGGATCAAAGACGGTACATTGTACTACTAGAATATGTTCATGCCGGGGAGATCTGTTACAATACTTATTGAAATGTTGTTACAACTTTGGCTGTAAAGACCAGACTACCCTGACCACAAAGGTTAGTTCTAAAGGAGCCTCTAAACATTAGAGTCAGCAGCCCTGCCCAATATCCTAGATGCGAGTAGAAATAATCTTACAAATCTTACAATAAAATTCACAATTCAATCAAACTGGTGTCATATTTGTAATCTACATGTAAAATTACATCTAGAAATGTGGTTTTGGAAAGAGTTTATCAACTTTGAAAATTTAATTTTCTTTGAAAATGTGACTTCTAGGTCGGGGAGATTCCCCATAGACCCCATGTTATAAAACTATAAAAAGTGAAATATCTTTTCTTGTGTTGGGCAGATAATATTTTCTTTTACTGGACATATTTTAATTTGTATAACTATTACATAAGGGTAATTTGAATTTTGTAATACCCAGCCATGTTATTTCCCCAGAATCAGCCACCTGGTGGCGAAACTGGTAACTACCTACTCGCATATGAGTAATTGACGCTGGCAATGACAGTCCAGGTAATAAATCGATTCAAACCAACCGCGTGGACATTTTCTCCAATCAGCAAAAAGAAACACGCATATAATGTTCAATATTGGTCAAAACTAGGGAACGACTACAGAGGAAATGACCATATATAGAAATCGTCCATGTGTTTCAATGACAAGCTCTGATTGGCTTTTGAGTTCAAAGGTTTCTCTTAAACTGAAAGAGAGTAGATGAAGCTGTCTTTTAAGAAGCTAAATCAAACGAATGTGAAAGGTAACACCATATGTGAAGGGTAACACCATATGTGAAGGGTAACACCATACATGAGAGGGTAGATATTTTAAATTGTGACCTCACTATAAAATAATTTGAAGTGGGCACAACAAAGAAAAGAGTGTTAAATGTTAAACAGTAATCTTTTCAAACCGCATGCCAATGGTTCTGTTTCCATGACAATCATGTTGTAATCTCTAAAAAGAATTAGATAAATGATCAAATATGGAACATGGTCATTTTAAGGAGCAAATTTGTCTATTTATCTATTTATTAGAATCGAAAAGCCAAAGTTAGTCTGCACATTTAAGCAGACATATGGTAAGATGAATACAAAATGAATATGGTATAACCTTCAACTATTTATTAACCTATGATCTCATTGATATCTTTTCTGATAAACTGAAGCAAGGAATACTTGTGATTGCTTTGACATTAAATTTAATTATAGGGTCAGAAGAGGAGAGTGATATTTTTGTGATAAAAGGCTCCTTTAGAGCATATAGGTTGTACGATGTCATGATAAATTTTGTTTGTTTTTGTCTGCATATAAAATCTTTACATATTTTCCAATAGAAGTCAAGTAGATTATTAAGTACATATTAAGAGAGTAAATATGACTGATGTTATCATGTAATGATACGATGCATCAATAAAAGATAATGAATATATATATATATATCTTTTATCGACTCTTTAGATGTCATATCATGACATATTAGTCACTTAGGTAGAGCTATATGTTCAATTTCCACAAAATGAACATATCAAGGTCACATATTATTGTTTCTTTTTTTCCATTTCATCCTAATTTTTTATTTGTATGTTAAAGATATTTCAAAAGTCAAATCAAACTCTGCATTCACTATATCCAGTAACCAGAAAACAGTCATAACTCAAGTGATAAAGTACTCCCCAGCAAAACACAAGGGTTAGCAGCATTTACTTAAACAAGTGAGAACAATATCACCAAAAAATAAAATTAATAAATACAAAGACATGTTCACCTATTCAAATCATTTTTGTATCAGTTTCAATGACCATTTGATATCTGTATGTCAAACCAGTGCATAACATTAATCAGGCTTTAACCCAAATGTTTATATATTACTTGTAAGATTAACTCTTACAAAAAATAAATACAAAAACATTCATTTATACGGATAAACAGACAAGCAAGTCAATTATAATCTAAATCTTTGTGTCAGTTTTTAAATTACATAGTGTTATATCTTGTTAACATTAGATGAACTACCAAAGAAAACGATTCAGAAGTACATTTGTGGCTCAAGCATACTTTAGCTTTATAAGCAGTAATATGGATTGAAACCTCAACTAAACCCTTAATAGACACTCCAGCAAATAACATTTTTAATCAAATCTCCATATTAAGATAAAATTTTCAGACAAAATTTATTACGGATAGAGTATTACCCATACTGAATATATCTGTAGAAAAAAATTTTGAAAATTTTCATCAGGTTTGATGTAATTGTTGCTAGAAAGTTATATGCAAATGAGCTAGACTGCGCTCTATAGCAAATAAACCCTTGGCAGAAACCTGAATATCAATATAACATAACATAATTTGAACCACTTGTAGTGCAAGTTGAATTAACAAAGAAATTAAATCATAAAATATATTTCTCATGTGGAAAAGTATATGAGTGATTTATATGAAACAAATCCTGAAATTTTAAATAAGATTTAGTGGTCAATTAACTATTTTCTTCATTGGCCATATAGCCCTTAATAGGGTTAACATCCAAATGTTTACTCAGTTTTGCCCAAGGTACATGAGTTGTAAATTTTTAATGTCATTGATTCTCATTTAAATACAATATGATTGGTATTTATTGGCAACTAAAATGAAAACATCATTCTATTTTATCAATTAGATAGTCTATAACTGCATACTTTTCCAAGAAAGCTGTGGCAGCTATTGAAAATAATTACAAACAACAAATTCGTTACTGGAACATCCTATCTCAAATTATCGAGTCTTTGTTTTACGGAGAAATTATAAAATTAGGAAATGGGTAGATTTCTACATATTACCCCATTGGTCCAGTACTTGAGTATCCATTAACAAATATATGAATAGCAGCGAAAGGGATAAGACAAGAACATAAAAAATGCAATTACAAGACACACATCTGAGGGGGGAAGGGAAATGACAAGAACATAAAAATGCTTACACAAGACACACATCTGAGGAGGGAGGCAGGGATCTGGGGGAGGGGTGGACCAGGGGTAGCAAATTAGCATAACTAGGCATTGTTTTTAATTTTTGGCCTAATTGTAAAAATTCAGATTTCGGATCCAAAATTTCAAAATTGGGCCCAAAGCTTTTTCACGCCCTTGGCCCCCCATCAATTTGATTTTTATATCCGAACCACTGAACGAGTACAAATCTTAGACTGTTAATAATAAAAGTAATTCATACCTTTTGAGACTTGTGCTCATCACCTTCGCATTCTTATTGTTATTTGAGCTTGAGTCTTCTTTTGGTCGTTTTCCACCACGTCCCCTTCCACTTGTTGATGCCATTATCTAAAATGAGAGAATCATTTGATGAAGGCGAAAGTAATCATCAATGTTTTAAAGTAAAAGATCAGACGACAGACATGGAATTGCTGATAAAATCAAATGATTTCATTTTGTACTTGCAGATTTTCTAATCTGGACATTGTTGTTTGTTTGGCACACAAAAGATCTATTTACACTTATCTATTTGATATCATATAAATATTTTAATCACATCAAGAGAAAAACAATTAAAAGTGCAACAGTTAGAGAATTAAACCACTGTGCAATGTTTATATTTCAAGTATTCAACCATTGTACTGTCATATCTCATATCCATTTCCTCAAGATTCATCATTCAACAAAAGAACTTTCATTTCGAACTTTTTCAATCTGGTATGGCCAAAATTCTCTTACATGATTAAAAGTATATGAGGTGGACTTTTACTTACTTGTGTCTTTTATTGGTCTTAGACGATTAAATGATTTCAGCTTGATCAAATGATGTAGATTTCCTTAGATTGACAAAACGTGCAGCCGGATTCTGGAATTGGCTGTTCTATTCACTCCCCCTGAATAGACTTGGGGAGCTGATCATTCTGAAAATTGGGGACCGCTCACACAAATATTCCCAGTGTTTTTAATCGACCAATAACCGATTAATTGATTTATCAATCACATTTATATTTTGAATGATTTAAAAATAATTTAAATTTTACTTTGTTGTGCATCATTTTGTTCCAATTAGTCAATTAGAAATGATAAAATAGCGTATATTTAAATTGGTTATTCCCGTCGCCGATGAAAGGTTTTCATAAGCAGGTGAACTTTGACCTACTTCTCCTATAGTTTCCAAAGCAAACTAAATGAGAGATTAACTGTTACTCAAGGAAGCCGCTTGGAATTGCACGGTTTTCATTTAAAATGGGGAAAGGTGGTTATAAAAATGGACATAAAGACTATCCCACATATACCTGGGATGAGGTTGGTGAACATACTCACATGGATGACAAATGGATCGTTGTAAATGATGATATTTATGACATTACACACTTCAGTAAAAAGCACCCTGGTGGAGCAAGGTTGATCTCACATTTTGCTGGACAAGATGCTACTGTGAGTACTAATTCTGTAGATATTGAATACACTCAAATTTAAAGTAATCTATCCTTCTTCTAACCTTACTCCTTCCCCTATAGAGCCTCGGAATGAAGGCTGAAAGTAGTAATATACTAATATTCAAAGCTCGCTTGAGAATTCTTTCATCAAGCCCCTGGTGGCGATCCCTTATCTGGTGCCAGGAGTCATGGAGATTCCCTCTGGCTATCGCTCCCCTATAACTACAACAAAACAGATAAAATAGGAAGTATCTAAGTCCAGAGAGGTTTGACTTGACAAGATTTGTCTTAAGTCTGATATGTATTAGACCTATGTAAGGTAAAGTACAGGTGTGGAATTCAATCAAGGTTTGTTCATTATTGTAATTTTGATTCTCGAATGTCTTATATCTCAGTTGCCATAGTTACTTTACACTCTAAAAGACCCTGGATAGCAATTTACTAGTTGCTGAAGTCTTTATGGTTCAGCAGTACAGTATCGGACTTTGAGCCGGAAGGTTCTGAGTTCAGTTCCCGCATTGGGCTTTGAATTTTGCACACTCTGTATCTGACAGCTCCCTGGTGGTACCTCGGGTTCTTATACGACAGTTGAAACTGTGCTGTGCTTCTCCTGAAAGAAGTCAACTGAGTGTGGTTATAATTGCTTTTATGAGGTTATGACGAAATGCTAGTTAATGGATGAATTACATGCAAAAAGTCATGTTTACAACTGGAAACCGGTCTTATGGTTCATATAGACATAATATTATTTATAATTCAAATAGACTTGCAACTCTGTGATATCTGATGTTTGTTGTGTGCTACAAGAACTACCTTAACAACAATGTATTATCATAGAATACATGATCATGGGTTGCTATGGTAACCGTTGCCATATTTTTATGAAATTAGGAAATGATCATCTATATTTTTCTGATTCTGAGTTTTGAATTGTTTTGAATTATTTGCAGGAAGACTCATTTTCCATCATGATTAGATTTGCACATTATGCCTAGCTAGTGATGACTACCCTTTAGTAGATACATGTACTAAAAAACTAGTGCAAACTAAACTAAAACATAAAAATAACATAATATTAACATGATGCTGCGGCATATTAATGAAGTGGCATAACATGGTTACATTCGTTTTATAACATGGTGTATATCTAATCCATTCTGACTACTGTATTCTAGATTCTTAAATACAAGTTAAATAAACCCTTTAGTGACCAAATTCTTATCCTTTCTCAAGTTAAGCCAGTTATAAGAGGCTTTAGCCACAGCAAACCTATAATTTTAGATATCCCCAGATGCTTATGTAAATCCCAGAAAACAAAAGATTTTCTTCTTGATTATATGGTAACTTAGGTGAGAGAATTTTAAGCTGAGTATTCTTCAATCTTGTATTTGAGAGAGGATGATGAGACTTCATCTTTATAATATGTAAATGTTTTAATGGGATGAATTTACAGTAATGCCATCTATATTTTGCACTAAACTCTCAGCTTCATGAATAAATCACTGGAAAAAATATTCGATTGTGAGTTGATATCAATAAATGCCACATGGGACTATGTATTACATTTGATTTGAAATAGATGAAGTTGCCAAAACATATAAGATTTATTTACGTTATCAGTAGTATATAATACAGTGCTTATGTTCCAATTTTTCCTAGGAACTTTTTAACTTCTCATTTTTATAAATCCAACAATAGACAAGATCTCAGGTGGTGGCTACGCCTACAGAGAAACTTGTATCTCCGAACACCTCTCAGATCCGAACACCTCACAATGTCAAAGCCTTTTCTCTGATCCATGTGTTCTCATTGACTTTCAGGTTTATAAAACCTTAAAATGTGAACACCTGCTAATCCAAATACTTTTGGCGTTTGTATTAGACAGGTTTTACTGTACTCACTTCAAAACTGGGGAGATCAGTAATATTAGATGTATCATTTCGTGTGTTTTTAATTTAATATTTCTGTTCTAGGATGCTTGGACTGCTTTCCATGACCACAAAGACATGGTGTCTAAATACATGAAGCCTATAAAGGTTGGAACCCTGTGCAATGACAAACAGGTTGGTGTTAAGTTTGAATTGCTTAGTTATCATAGCACTTTAATGCATAGTCTCAGGAAATGCTTCAAATCTTGCTTCAAGATCCTCCCTGTTGTTGAAGTAAGGGGGGGGGGGGGTCCAGGGTCTTGACTCGAGGCAACCTTTCAATGCCTTCATTCATTCATTTTTAATTTAAGCATATTTTTGGGGTTGTGCATTAGACTGTATGAAATATTAAAGTAATAAAATGCTTCTGACTCTTGTATGAGCCTCCATAAGCCTCCAAATCATGTAGTGCTGTTATTACATTACCATAGGCCATATGGACATTATTTTGAGATGTCATGTTTCAAACATTCAGTTTCACAACTCAGATTCATATTGGGCCACTGTGTTTAAAAATGATATGGATGCGAAATTCTAGGGGTTGGATCTAGACAATTTGCATCCAATTTTATGTATATTTTCGATTCATTTGGTGAGTTTATGAATCACCCCCTGTCCATTGTTCATTTGTTTATCTGTCCATTAGTCTGATCATTATCAATGCTGAGGCAAATTAAAAACTGCCTATTATCAGAACTAATTTATTGATCCAATTAATGGGGCTCTTTTGATCCCGGCTCATTCTTTTGCCTCATTTTTGAGAAATCTTTTATGACGGCAAAATAGCAAAACAAGGAATCACCATCTGAGCCCACCAAATGGTGCCATTTTTAAATGGAGTTGGCCCTTGAAAATATAAAAATGAAAAATAATCTACCACTGAACATATGCAATAGCGCTACAAGTAAAATTAATTTAATAAAGTATAATTTTTTTATTATTAATATTATAGGTACAAATCAAAAGAGACTTCCGCAAGCTGCGTGAGAAAGCTGAAGAAATGGACTTGTTCAAAGTGAAAACTCCATTCTACCTGGCCCACATTGGTCACATCATTGCCTTAGAAGTTATCGGATATTTGCTCCTCAAATACTATGGTATTGGATGGGGACCTTGGTTACTGGCTGCTGCCATTCTTGCTACTGCTCAGGTAGGATTAATTTTCCTGTCAATTTTAATTGCAAGTCATTGCTTAAATGAGGCAACTCTCAAATAAAGCAAATTTGAAATGAGACAACCCTCAAATAAAGCAAGTTTGAAATGAGGCAACTCTCAAATAAAGCAAATTTGAAATGAGACAAACCTCAAATAAAGAAAATTTGAAATGAGGCAACCTTCAAATAAAGCAAATTTGAAATGAGGCAACCCTCAAATAAAGTAATTCTCAAATGAAGGAACTCTCAAATTAAGCAATGCTCCTATATCCTAGTGGCTGTGTTTTCCTGGGACTAGACCCATACATGAATGTATCATCATTTTCTTGTCTAATACCAAGTATTATGTGGTTCTATTGATAAGGAATCTAGATAGATATACCCATACTAGGCACAGTTTATGAACCTACTATTTACCAAAGATAACATGAATGAGTATTTGTTGAGTAAATAATTGAATTATTTGAAGGGTTGATAAATAGTTATGACTTGTGAGTCAGTGCAGAATAATGTCGGGTTGACCTTCAAGTAAAGAAGAAGGTGGAATTTTACATGCATTAAGTCATTGCAATGTGTTGACTTCAGAATGATTCGATTTGAAATAAAGTAATTTATGCCATTATTTGACATTGACATTGTGGTCATTATTATTAGTTATCAATCAAGAGTAATATTTGTTTGGGTTTATCCATCTTATGTCAATTATCAACTCTATTGACTGGTGTTTTCTTGTGAAGTCTACAAGTGCTACCAAGTACAAGTACCAATACATTCCCGCAAGTTTGAATCTACTTTAAATTTACTTTAATCTGCTGTAAAATTTCATGTGAAGGAGGGTTGTATAGACAAGGGAGGGGGGGGGGCTACAAAAGCTTGAAGCAAGACTTTACATACTAAGAAACTTGGACAATCGGCCTCACCTTTAAACTAACTTTTCATGTTTTTTTTATTGTAGGCCCAATCTGGCTGGTCCCAGCATGACTACGGTCATCTCAGTGTGTTTCCTAACAGTAAACTCAACCATTTGATGCACCACTTTGTCATTGGTACTCTCAAGGTATGTATGGCTCCTTCATTATTGGTCCAAGGGTATTACCACGCATTATATACCCTTGATTTATTTATATGGTTTTAAATGACCAAATTTATCCAATGTGAATAGCTGTATAATTTCGTTACCACAATCAAATACTATTTGTAAGTTGGATATTATTAGGTTAAATGTATTAAATTATTTATTACAATATTTTAAAGTTAGTTTGTGATTCTGTCATGAAAATAGTAGACTGTTCCTTGTCATGATTCCAGGGTGCATCCTCTAATTGGTGGAACCATAGGCACTACCAGCATCACGCAAAGCCCAACGTTGCCCTCATGGATCCCGATATCTCTCTGCCATATGTCTTCATCCTTGGAAAGAGACTTGCGAGAGTTTGGGGAGAGAAAAAGAGAGAAGGATTTCTACCATACCAGTTTCAGCATATATACTATTTTGTTTGTAAGTCAAATCCCAAAAATGATATTGCAATCGTAAATGTCCTTTAAATGGAAAAAGCATGCTCAAGTTTTTATTATTTTATTTTAGTTTCACCTTATTGTATGTAACAAAATCCAACAGATCCATTGCTCATAATTAAATTATGAGCCTGTTTTCATCTTATTTTCCTGAAGACGTTACGGCCGGATACCTGGTCCAGGTCCATTATAAACCCCACTTTGTAGATTTCAACAGAACATTATTTTATATTTATATTTTCAGTTGGACCTCCCTTACTTCTTCCCACCTACTTCCATTTTGAAAACATCTACTTTGTCATCAAGAGAAAACTTTGGGGAGTAAGTAGACCATTTTTTGATTTTCAATTATATTTATTAACCTTTACCCAATGATTTGATATAGGCACCAATTTAACAGACTTACTGGACCTCCGGACAAATACATGTACAGTATATTCAATGTTACATGGAATCAATATGTCGCTTTGTCATTTGGCTGTGCCAGTGAATAAATCTTATTCAGGTGTGCTTTAAATTTTATTTTTATGTTTATTTTACAAAATAACAAAATGATTTGAAAATGAGTCTTAAAATCTTAAATTTTATATTCCAGGATTTGTTTGCGACTGTTTCTTTCTTCGTTCGTTGGTTTGTGTGTTATGGTCCCCTGTTAGGAGGATGGGGGGCTTTCTGGTTCTACATGTTAGTACGGTGAGTACACGGTTGTGTGAAAAGTCCTTCAAGGATAATCGGCCATTAGATAACACACTCCCTTTTAATCGCAATCAAGGTAACTCTAATTAGTTACCAGTAGCTTTTTATTTAAAATAAGTAATCCACTCTGTAAATCCTTTCTACAAATATCGATGCTATGTTTCAGATCTCTAGAATCTCATTGGTTTGTCTGGGTCACACAGATGTCTCACATCTCCATGGAGATTGAGAAGGATCAACAAGCTGATTGGTTCACATCACAGTTGAAGTCAACGTGTAATGTTCATCCAAGTTTGTTCAATGATTGGTTCACGGGACATCTCAACTTTCAGATCGAACACCAGTAAGTGAAATTAATTTTCTCGTATACAGATTGGGCAAAAAAAGTTGACTGTATTTTATCGTGTATAGAGTGTGCCAAATGATTGACTACTTTGTACATTGTAAGCCAGACAAGTAGTTTACAATACATTTCTCATGTACATGAACAAAGAAGGTACAAAATGGGCTTAAAACAAATCTGCATTCTTAAAGGGTAGGCCTAAAAATACTTCATATTCAGGATGGGCCAAACAGTTGACTGTATTCATTAAGCACAGGTTGGGGCCAAAAGATTACTTTCATGTACAAAATCGGCAAGGAAGTGGTGTAAGCCTGAAGGCCAAAAACACAGATATAAAAGAAATGGTACAACAGGTAGCAAGGAAATAATTCCCCACTGATTTAACTTAAAAAGAAACAGTGTCTTAACATATCCCTCTTATCACCAATCCTTACCCCCAAACAGAACATCAACTTTATCCATTGCTCTAAGAAAGATATAACATGTGCTTTTGTTATTTTCTATGATTATTAATTAAAGTCACCTGTTAAAAGTGAACTGTTTCCATGCATAAAATCTCTTTATCATCTCAGTTTCAAAAAAAGTTTTTGCTTTATTTATTGATTTAAAGGTGTCTCTGGTATCTATATTTTGATTAAAGAAATGGGTATATTTACCATTTTATACAGTTTATTAGAAAAGATGGCCTTTGTTCAAATTATAGAAAACAAGTTTAGGTGGTATATCAATTTTTCCAATCAACAACTTCATTGTACCCATATCAGTTGTTCTTAAAATCTCAATGGTGGATGAATATTGGTTAATGGACCAAAAACGGCTGATTATCATAGTAAAATTGATTTAAGATGTTTTTTGGTACTAGCTAATCAATCAGATTGTTTTATTTTTATTTATTTTCTCCTCCTTGGTGATAGCGATTTTGATGAAAACCATCGTCAATATACAAGGTAGTTTATTACGTACATTTGAAGCATCATCAACTCAACATTGATTAAATGTATTGTACAAAACACAAATGGTTCCAAACAAAAAACCTATACCATCAATAGGATAATATCTGACAGTTTTTGTGTAGTATTTTCAATATTTTACTCTAATTACTTTGCCCTTTACATCTCCATTGATTACTTGTCCCAAAGGGATGATATCTCAACATCTGTAGATAAAATCTAGCTTTTACATAGATCTCTCTCATTGCTTTATCAAATAAGTAAATTTTGAATTGTTTGATTTAAGTAAGCTCTGATATTTTTTTTATATATGTTTTTAGTTTTTCACATAATATATACATAATACATAATACATAATATATTTTCAGTTTTGAATTTTTTTTCTAATTACATTTTATGTTCAATTAACATACTTAAAACCACCCAGAAAATATCTCTAGAAAATATATTAAAAATATAATTTTGAATCCTATTCTCTGAAAACATCCAAAGTTGAAAATTACAAAACAGGGGTAAACATGAAAAATGACAGGGGGGTGCTAACATTTTCTTTTTGAAAATTCGAGTCAACATTTTTGGTCCCTTTTTCAAAAGTTAGCTCATTTTTTGAAAAATATGTAGCCATTAAAAGAAGATTGAAGCCCATATTTTGCCTAGAAGTCTCATTTTGAGTATCCGAGATAGTAAAGTTTGCTACAGAGCTAATCCACAACACAACACAAACAGTTTTACTCAATTGAAATAATAATTTAAGAGCATAAATTGATTCATAAATCAACCTAAATGGTAAATTCATAAAACTTCAAGCATTCTGGCTCATTTCATCATCAATGATGCTATAATTAAAACTTAATATAAACTTGCATTAACTTTCTTTGAAGATGAGAAATTATCTTGCTTGAATGTTTGATTTACAAACCTTGTATATAAAAGAATATTGATTATTAATATGCCTAATTGTATAATGTTATCAGTCTCATTTGGTTACTGATCTGTTAAAAAGAGAACTTTTTCAGTCGGCAATTGCTTTTCAAGCCATTCATGTTTTTTTAATTAATGACTTTTTAATATATCACTGCGATTTTTACATTGATAATGTGCAATATGTTTGGGAGATTATGTTACTATAATTAGTAACTCTAAGGGAGCGGGTCAATAAATTGATGTACATCCATAAATATGATGTTTTGTTTTATTAGGGGTATGTGGTAAAATCCATTTCATTTTGTTTCGGAACATTGATTTTCAAAAGGGAGCAACTTTTAATACTTTTTAAAATCAATGAATATTCAATTACATTTTGGGAGAGAATGGCGATCAATCTGACATGTACTTAATTATGTTTGAGAAACAATATTGAAATTTTGGCCTGGTCCCTTGGCCTTAGTTCAGTCTATTTCGAGTATAAATCTGTTACTCTACTAATGGTCATGGTAAAACAATTATGCTTTAGAAAAAATACCTGAAAGCTCTCATGACCTCGAAGATACTCAGGAAGGTACTCTATTTATAGTTCTAAACTATATATACTGGTCAGAAATCAAGTTAATGATAGAAAATAATATAAACTGCTAATGTTCATTTCTTATATATTTCTACAATGCCCCTATGTACAATAATGTGTGATCCAAAGTTCAAAAGTGTCATCCAGTATACAATAGCTTACTATCAATTGCACAATAGTGTCATCCAATGTATAATAGCTTACTATCAATTGCACAATAGTGTCATCCAATGTACAATAGCTTACTATCAATTGCACATTAGTGTCATCCAATGTACAATAACTTACTATCAGTTACACAATAGTGTCATCCAATGTACAATAGCGTACTATCAATTGCACAATAGTGTCATCCAATGTACAATAGCTTACTATCAATTGCACAATAGTGTCATCCAATGTACAATAGCGTACTATCAATTGCAAAATAGTGTCATCCAATGTACAATAGCTTACTATCAATTGCACAATAGTGTCATCCAATGTACAATAGCTTACTATCAATTGCACAATAGTGTCATCCAATGTACAATAGCTTACTATCAATTGCACAATAGTGTCATCCAGTGTACAATAGCTTACTATAAATTGCACAATAGTGTCATCCAATGTACAATAGCTTACTATCAATTGCACAATAGTGTCATCCAATGTGCAATAGCTTACTATCAATTGCACAATAGTGTCATCCAATGTACAATAGCTTACTATCAATTGCACAATAGTGTCATCCAGTGTACAATAGCTTACTATCAATTTCACAATAGTGTCATCCAATGTACAATAGCTTACTATCAATTGCAAAATAGTGTCATCCAATGTACAATAGCTTACTATCAATTGCACAATAGTGTCATCCAATGTACAATAGCTTACTATCAATTGCAAAATAGTGTCATCCAATGTACAATAGCTTAAGTAATAGTGTCATCCAATTTACAATAGCTTACTATCAATTGCACAATAGTGTCATCCAATGTACAATAGCGTTCTATCAATTGCACAATAGTGTCATCCAATGTACAATAGCTTACTATCAATTGCACAATAGTGTCATCCAATGTGCAATAGCTTACTATCAATTGCACAATAGTGTCATCCAATGTACAATAGCTTACTATCAATTGCACAATAGTGTCATCCAGTGTACAATAGCTTACTATCAATTTCACAATAGTGTCATCCAATGTACAATAGCTTACTATCAATTGCAAAATAGTGTCATCCAATGTACAATAGCTTACTATCAATTGCACAATAGTGTCATCCAATGTACAATAGCTTACTATCAATTGCAAAATAGTGTCATCCAATGTACAATAGCTTAAGTAATAGTGTCATCCAATTTACAATAGCGTACTATCAATTGCAAAATAGTGTCATCCAATGTACAATAGCGTACTATCAATTGCAAAATAGTGTCATTCAATGTACAATAGCTTACTATCAATTGCAAAATAGTGTCATCCAATGTACAATAGCGTACTATCAATTGCAAAATAGTGTCATCCAATGTACAATAGCGTACTATCAATTGCAAAATAGTGTCATCCAATGTACAATAGCTTACTATCAATTGCACAATAGTGTCATCCAATGTACAATAGCGTTCTATCAATTGCACAATAGTGTCATCCAATGTACAATAGCTTACTATCAATTGCACAATAGTTTCATCCAATGTACAATAGCTTACTATCAATTGCACAATAGTGTCATCCAATGTACAATAGCTTACTATCAATTTCACAATAGTGTCATCCAATGTACATTAGCTTACTATCAATTGCAAAATAGTGTCATCCAATGTACAATAGCTTAAGTAATAGTGTCATCCAATTTACAATAGCGTACTATCAATTGCAAAATAGTGTCATCCAATGTACAATAGCATACTATCAATTGCAAAATAGTGTCATCCAATGTACAATAGCTTACTATCAATTGCACAATAGTGTCATCCAATGTACAAAAGCTTTCTATCAATTGCAAAATAGTGTCATCCAATTTACAATAGCGTACTATCAATTGCAAAATAGTGTCATCCAATGTACAATAGCGTACTATCAATTGCAAAATAGTGTCATCCAATGTACAATAGCTTACTATCAATTGCACAATAGTGTCATCCAATGTACAATAGCTTACTATCAATTGCACATTAGTGTCATCCAATTTACAATAGCTTACTATCAATTGCACAATAGTTTCATCCAATGTACAATAGCTTACTATCAATTGCACAATACTGTCATCCAATGTACAATAGCTTACTATCAATTGCACATTAGTGTCATCCAATGTACAATAGCTTACTGTCAATTGCACATTAGTGTCATCCAGTGTACAATAGCTTACTATCAATTGCAGAATAGTGTCATCCAATGTACAATATCAGTTGCACAATAGTGTCATTCATTTGAGATACTGGTAGACTTATGTTCATGCAAAAATATTTGCCTACTTGCATTCTATAAAAAAATGTTTATTGTTGATTCATCAAGAATGATTACTCGTGCAGAAGGACTCTTAAGCCCCTATCATGTAAAAGGTGGAACCCCTATGTGTATAATACAATTGCTCTGTGAAATGAACACTGAATGAAAATCTTGATATTTTAACTACTACTGTAAATATACAATATACATCTCTCACATGAGGGATACAGTAATTATCATGAAAATATTCTTAAAATGGAACTTACAGGGCCAGGTTGTCTTTCTTACATGATGAACCTCTCTCTTGTTATGATATTTTTACTTTTTGTCATTTTTGCCTATCTATTGTGATTATTTTGTGCTTATTTGGGGTGAAATTGTCAGTTTTGACTAACTATGGACATTTTGGAGCTGAAGATTGTTTTTTCACACGTTTATTTTTTCAGAATTTGTTTCACAACAGAATTTTAAAAACCTGTTTCTAATATTTATTTTCAGTCTATTCCCAACGATGCCCAGGCACAACTACATCAAGATTAAACCTCACGTGGAAGCCATGGCAAAGAAGCATGGTATCCCATATGTTAGTAAAACATTGTATCGGGCATTCGCGGATATTCCAAGGTTAGTCGATGGTATTGAGCTCACGTTCGCCATGCATATGTTGTTATCCCCTGACTTATTCATGTACGATGTACACTCTGATTGGTCAGGATGTGTCACATGACATGCATGCGTGCCGTCGAACACAACTATTTTTATGTCGAGTCATTGAACTTCATAGATGCATTGTCATTGAACTTTTTTTTTACCACAGCCAGCATGTTCGAGGCAAGCCTCAGATTTGACATTCATACTTTTAATCAGCTTGAAAATAAATTTGATGATTGTTTGAATAGAGCCTCATCATTGCTTTTATGACATTTCAGTTATTGTCATAATTTTTTTTATTTATGAATGGAGATGATAGGCCATAGAAACTTTTCCATATTAACGCATTAGTGGTGGTGTTTTTGTTTTTATGAACCAAGAGGTATTAAAGACTTAAATGTCAGCTCAAGTTGAAATTGGCTTTGTTGGTTCACTCTAATGATTGCTATTTTTGTAACATTGCAGGTCGTTACAGGAATATGGGGAACTATGGTACGATGCATTCCATACAACTGGGTAGATATTTTGATGCCATCACTTAGCAACGAACATCTTTGTTCTTAAACAAACAGACTGGTTTCAATGGGAACAATATACTGGGTGACATTCAATCAGTGTAAACTCTCGCTGGTCAAGGGTTTATCTTTGAACAGTTTTGACAGTGTACATTTTAAATTGACAAAAGCTCGCAAAATACAGCTCTTTTTTCAAATGCTTGAACAAAGTATTTAATGTTTACTGCCCTCGGTCAGAGGGAAGTTTATAAGATTAAAATGTTATAATTGTTATTTTTGTGGACTAGACACAGGCCATAGGCTATTACTTATATCATCTATAACATCTTGTATCAGTATACACTTTGTACTTGTTGTACCACTCATATTCAATGTTTATGAGTTTTTGATACATCCGGTTATATTTCTTAAAATCTTATTTATTTAGCTGAACATATAGCTTTATTTGTAGATCTCAAATTTCTGAAATCTCAATCTCTCTATGCTCCAGAGCATAGCGAATGTTATGGAAATTAGTTAAACTTTTAAGTAAATGGTGTGTGAAATCTAAAATTGACTTCTCTATACATACCATCAAAGCAGGATGTTGAAAGTTAGACACATAATCTAATTGACATTAAAAAGCAATTACAGTCAATTTTTAATTAATTTTTAAAATGTAAAACTATAACATGCTTTTTTCCATTAAAATGTTAAAATCTCATTTTCTTTAATTTTCTGGAGTTGAAGATTATTAAAAGAATACGTTATGGAAACACTTGGAAAATGTAGCATGGTGGATCAGCATATAACCAAATACAGAAAATCCTGTTTTAGTGAACACCTCTCTCTAATGAATTCCTGTGTCAAGTGAGCATTACTTTAAGACATCGACTCTTGTATAAAAAACCCTCTCTGTAGTGAACACCTACTGTACTTATAGTGAACATTTTTTGTGGCTCCATGGGTGTTCACTATATGCAGGTTTTAATGTACTTAACAGTGCATGTTAGAATTAAATATACACAGATATCTGACTTAATTAACTGAATTTTTATTAAGATGTGATTAAATTCATGAAAGATACAGTTGATTAAAGAAATTCTTGTGATGTTCAATTGAAATGTTACAAATTTCATTGAAGTGTATGAAACCATATTGCTTTGTATTAAATGCTTATAATAATGTAAATAATCATGTACATATTTTTGAATATTACATTTTATGAGTCCATCCATTTGTGCATCAGCATTGTTTTATATGGAGAATTGTAAATATGTAGATACTTATCAATTTAAGAAAACAATCTATGCTTGAAATTAATGTGCCTTACCTGAGAATCCATTGCCTAAATAGAAATCCTTTTTGAAGTTGCATTCATTTAGGGAAAATCTTTTTTATGAACTGTCTCATTGAAAACTGTCAAAATGTTTAATTTACAATTTTTTGCGATGTATTTATTCATATTCTTAAGTTTATTTAAAACTTATAAAAACATATAGCATTACAACTGTGATATTTTTTGAAAAATGAAACATTTGTATGAAACCAAAGCTCACTGTTTTCAGTATTAAGATTAAGAGTATTGTTTATGTAATAACATTTTCTTTGAGTGAAGTTAAAGTAAATATAAGTGTGAAATAAATTTATTATATTCTACTGTTTCTTATTGTAAGGCTTGGGTGTGTGTATGTACTAGATGATCGATATGTATATGTATAGATTTAGATTTATTAACTTTATTACTTGAGATACCCATAATGAGTTAACTAAATACAAAGCAAAATTAAAGAGAGGACACTACCACACACAATATTTCATAAAAAATTATTAATTTTTTAATGCTTAAACATATAAATGGTGACTGTGATACAAATGCATTGTTTATGTAATATATAAGTTATTGTGTAGCAGGGGTTCAAATACTCCAAATATTCACTATCTAAGAGCTCCTTTAGTATCAATACTAATCATCAATTATTGAAAAAACGATCCATTAATTAATTTGCTTTGAAATCTGCCATATTTTGCAGTTTCTCCACTCATCTACTGATGTTAAGTCAATGTTACAAGAATGTCCTTATATTGGCACTTGTTCCCTTTCTCCTGTGTTTATTTATGTGTAATACGATTTTTGATAGGTACTCTGCCTGGATTGTATATGTGTATTGAATTCTTGGTGTAATTGTTGATAAGTGGATTTCAGATTTGACCTTTTGGTGACCATAAATGACCTTCCAAAGGTAAAAAAGTTGATTTTTCAAATTGTTTACTGATTTAAATTTTGGTCATGTTGGTCCATTGTAAAATTATTTCTAATGTAGTATATAGAAAGATGGAAATATACATTAAATGAGTCAATAATACATAAAGCCGATCAAATGAAATTCCTGATATTACATGTTTAATGTAACAAATCGAGTTTACGATCAACCTTAATTAAACAGCTCACACAGGAAATGTTTCAATTTATTTTTTCCTGAAACTCCATCTTCTAAAATTTAGATATAAAGTGATAAAACGCATCAAACGGACCAAATCACAAATACATCCTACAAATTCAATATAACAGACGAATGTTTTGAATACCAATCTGATTGAACAAGATCTCCAAGGAAATGTTTTAAAAGATAATTATATCTAAAAATAGAGCTATTAAAACGGATAATGAGGATTTTAGTGTTGTTAGGGATAGTTATCCCTCATTGAGTAGCTTATACATAGGCAAACATATGACTTTCTCATTATACTGTTACTAGAAGATTTATTATTGAAAAAAGCCAGTTGTAAAAATCAATATTGTAAATTATAAGACAGTTATTTTCTATTACTACTTGATTAAGTGCTGTTTATTAAAGCAATTATTTGATAATAGAAACATCTACGAAAGAAAGCAGATTTTTTTAAAACCCCTATAAATCATGTGAACCAGATTGAAAAGATACTGTTCATTGTATTTGCAATAGGAATGTATCATATAAAGCCCCTTAATAACTGCTAATCTTTAAAAAGTCGACCAAACACTAACAACGTAAAGACTACATACGTATTGCTACATTGTTACATTTGACTACTTGTACGTTTCATGTAAATTACTCAGATGCGAGTAGGTAGTTACCAGTTTCGCCACCAGGTGGCTGATTCGGGGGAATTAACATGGCAGGGTATTACAAAATTCCCTTAAACTTGAATATGCATCAGTTTTAGTGGTTAACTTTTCATATTACCCTTATCTATCTGATAGTTATACAAATTAAAATATGTCCTGCAAAAGAAAATATGATCTGCCCATCACAAGAAAAGATATTTCACTTTTTGTGGTTTTACAACATGGTGTCTATGGGGAATCTCACCGACCTAAAAGTCACATTTTCAAAGAAAATTAAATTTTAAAAGTTGATAAACTCTTTTCAAAACCACATTTCTAGATGTAATTTTACATGTAGATTCCAAATATGACATCAGTTTGACTGAATTGTGGATTTTTAATGACGTAAATCAAGATTATTTCTTCTCGCATCTGGGATATTGAAAAAGGCCAAAAGATATTGTAGAAGTTTCACTGAATTTGTTTCAAGGCATCTATTATTAAATGTCAACCCAATTTGATATTTATACGTAAAAACAAGGAGGTATTCTTCAATAGTGCATGTGTATCTGTATAAAAATATTTTTCAGTTTGTAATTTGGACTTTATAGAAAAATGGCATTGGGAAGTTGCTCACAACTCGTCTGCAGTCCTCGTTACCCCTTTGATAAAATACCACGCGCGCAGAGTCTAGCGATAAACGAAGCTCTCTAGTTTTAAGAATATTGAAGTCGAACGAATGCAAAGAGTATTGACAAACGAGACAGCACAAAGTGTAACATCAGAATATACAAAATAAATCATTGCACTACAATCTACATGAAATCTCATCTTGATTTGCAAAGTTTCAGTTCGATAGCTTGATATAGCAGAAGATTAATTTTGCTTTATTAATGAATTTCAACCTTGACTGTCATATCAGATTAAGAGCAATTTTTTCACAACGATATGATATGGTATTTCAAAAATATAAAGAGAGGTACGTTTGCTTTATAGCATGAATTCATAGCACAAATCTTATCCGCTAACAATTACAACGACCCATATTGTATACAACATATATACAATATATATAATTATGTCACCACTAGATGGAATGGTGACATATTGTTATTGTCTCTAACTTTTTTTCGAAAACGATGTTTGGCCATTGTGATGCTCCTTCAAGAAGGAAACTGATAGGAGGCTGTGATATCTCACCATGATGTTCGGCGTTCGAGGGTTAAATGGTCGGAGTTCAGCGGTCGTCGTCTTTAACAAATGGCAGGTAGTGACATTTTGCTTAATGCCTTGTATATTATACTTGAGTGAATAATATTAGTAGCCAATAAAATTATTCTTGTTTATTTTTTGAAGTGCAGCAAAAATAAGTGAAATGTTTTATGCGAATTTGTTTAGGACTAATTTTCGATAATAAATATATAGAGTCCCGATTACTGCATTGCGATCAACTGCCCCATATGCCCACAGAGCCTCAACAAACGCAATTTTAATTATTGATTAGCTAAGACTTGGCAGAAGATCCTTTAAGCAAATCTCATTTGGGCGTTTGTCATTGATAAATAACATATCTGGAAGTTTAAATAAGCTTTTAAGCTCTGCCTAGAAACGTTATTGACTGCGTAATCCACATTTTGAAATGATTACATCTTTTGCAGTAAACTTAATGTATCAATGTCTGTGATTTCCCAGGCATTATCTGTATATGAAACATATTATCAAGTACAAATTTTGAAGTATCATCAGAACGTTCCTCAGCGTATTTTTTTATCAGGCTGTCCCTAAATGTATGCTATCAAAAATGTATCAATTAAAAGGTTGAAAATATAAGATTGGTATTTGAGGTAATTTTATAATGCAATTTGTTAATTTGTTTTTGATTGTTTAGTGTAAAAATGGAAAAACCTCTCTGATCAAGTATTAATGATATAATTACCACTATTATTCAATTATTTTGTGTCCAAATCTTGTTCATTCAACACTTTTTGTCACTATACGTTTTAATTTCTCGGAATTTGCCACTAGTCCCGCTCTAGCCTATATCTCATCCACTAAGGACGGTCCTTAATTCGCGGGGACCCTCGGAGTTTTTCAAGATATAGTATGTACAGGAAAGTATAATATATGTCTTAAGCTTTCATCTTGATTCACAAGGGTTCAGTTGTCCCAACGTCATGTGTGATAACACCTTGGAAGTCGAAGATGTAATGGTAATAAATTACATTTTTCTATTCAGTGTATATGTTCTGATCATAAAAATCAAGAGTATCTAATTCAGCAGACTCGCAGATCAAGAGATTCTTTGTAAGATCATGGATTAGGTACGTTCAATCCATTCTGCACCAAAGGAGGATTATCTCCCATGATTCTATCAAGCTACAACATTTGAATATTGACTCCGCTGTCCCCCAGGGGAATAAACAAAACGCGTGGGTGTGCGAACAAATAATATCCATTAATTCTATCAAAAATAATCAGATTGCATTGCCCCCGCCTCATCAAGAATAGGGCAGATGGCCTGCTCAACGTGTCATTCTATTTAATTCATTTAAAAGATGTAACAAATATTGATTTTAATTTGACTTGGATACAATCAAAGGCTACATTTTACCAGCTACGGTGTCCAGGTATGCTGATTCTGCAACCTTTGCTAAATGCAATTGAACACTGTCAGACCACAGGTGCCAATTCCATTGAATGGTCCAGACTGACAATAAATATTGGCATCCGATCCAGGATCGGGTTATATTGATATAAAACGTTTACTTTAAAAAATGAAATACTTGTCAGTATGTCACTGCTGACTACCTGTATGTAATTTGATCGACAGATCCTCAAATTCGTTACATGCCTGTTCATTCATCAGATTAAAAGAATTGAGCCTGGAAGGTCACACCGACTGAGAAGGAGAGAAAGCCAAAGGTTACAACATTGAGGGTGGAATGTGTGCAGAAAACCTGTAACATCAATGTATCCGTGATATTCTGTTTTCTTTACTGTCCAAACCAAGAGTACGGTCTTTTCAGGGAGTCTTTCCTTGGAGAGTTTGTGAATCAATGTAATTTTGGATGATTTTTCCAATGGTATACCAAACTAGGTACCATTTATTGAGGTTTTGGCTGTATCAGGGGGAGTGGGTCTTATTTGACATAATGTTCGAAAAAATTGATTTGTGTTTGAATTCAAATGACTCGGACATTAGTCTCAGGTGCCACAGATTGCCACGCGCCACCTTTAGTTAGTGTTTGGATTTATCATTTATCATAAGATAATATACAGGGTGACACATTGGAAGCTTGCATAACTGGCGTGAGAACATGTCATAACGGAAAGTGTAATTTCTCTAAATCTCAATTCTGTTGACGATAAAGTGCATTCCTGTTTAAGTGAAACCCGTTTGGTACCTTACATTTATATTCTAAAAGGCAATAGGTCATTGGACTCTGAAAAGTGTTCCACTTACAGAGGTTCATTTAACATTAAGTCAGTTGATCTAGGAAAAGAGTTTCACTTACAGAGGTGTTCCATTTACAGGTTTTACTGTACAGAACTGCTTCTCACATTATAAACGCTTTATCTCAGAATCTCCAAACGAAAATACATGAACATATCATGATTACATTAAGAAGGTTTTTATTAGAAATTAAGAGGGTTGCATTTTTTTTGTGCCAACCTGTAGAACATTATACAAACCTCTATATATTATGAAAACGTTCAACAAGTGGTAGGTTGGTTCTGATCATATAATATGTAAGCTTAGATATTTTTATAGCAAGTCACATTTGAAAATATATTCAACACGATACAATACAATTATGATTCGATATACAATGACAAAGCAATACACGATTGCTACAATTATAATTTCAACCTTTTGAAAACATAAATTTATTCATTGTATTCAAGGGAAAGAGCAACATGAATTCTAAAGGTCCCGGGTCTGTATTTTAACGCATATAAGGCATTTGTAGTTGCACGGTAGACTGGTTATGCAAATTAATTAGCATCATATATACGCAGTTTGTTGATTATGCTTTAAAGAATTGTTTATCCTTGCAGCAGAAATCTACCCTTTATTGCTTTGCAAAATATAAGGTTCTAAATGACACAATGCCACACAGTGTCAGCCAGACACGGCAACAAGGGCGACATTTATCATAAAGTTCACAATTTTATCCCGTGCCCTTTTGTTTTAAGCCATGTATGTAGTGAGAGAACTTTGTAAATACGTTTTAAATGGCCTGGCATTTCGAATCATTCTGACCTTTTTCTATCGCACTTAATTTGATGGACATGGCTGATCCCGGGTTTATATTTCTCAACAAAACTCTGCATCCTTAAAATGCCAATTTAGTTGCGAAACGGTTCCAGTCATTAGCAACTACGGCGTATCTGGAGGTAAGAGCGAGTCTCAAACTTAGATATATAGTCACAAACATCGGAAAATCGATAACAAAATATTCAATTCAATTTATCAATTGGTTAAATTCATATTCAAATCTGTTTATCTAAAATCTTTAAAAATCAAGAGTGGCAAAAGATTATATGTAAGGAAAATATCAAGTAGTCGGTAAGTCGAATCGATGAGCATTTGATTTATAATTGTACTTACATCTGTTTATAAACTAAACAACAATGCGACAATAATAACTCGTAACGCTGCCTTGGCTGTCACACTTAATAATTGAAGAAATATTCTGAGTTGAAAATCATCTTACTTTCTGCCGTGATACATAGAATAGAATATTACAGAGCACGTAGGCTTAAGATCATATTCTGCTAAACATTGCATCGATTTTTTGACATAATTGTACTTTTTTCATTTCTTGTTTAGTTTCAGATTTCAAAGAATGCCGATTTGTGATGGCTGGAGGAGTATAGAAATAAAGCCCGGGAATAGAGGCCACTTCAAGCAGGAGAATTCGTCTCAATCACTCTGGCAATAAGTTGTGCAGTGAAATCGATGTTTCTAGTACCGTTACAAGAGAAAAAGGGTGTCTGAAAAATGAGGATCAATATTCCCTGTGTTATTATAAAAATATTAATTAAACGGTTGGATTATATAAAGTCTCTGTCCATATCTGTATACTCTTATCAGGTTGCCTTGTTTGATTTGCCACTTTGTGATTTCTAAAGCAGAAGAATGTTATACTCTGGCTCTGGTTGCCATGGCAACTGTAGTGTCGATTTGAGTAATTCATGAAATGCCGCATAGCATCGATGTCTACTAATATCTTTCATGGTACGGGTTTATTAGCGGATAATCTGCCTAACAATTTCCTATCAATGGTGCCTTATACATTATTCCCTGCATAAAGCTATACATTCGGAGGCAGACAGCCTCTTAATGGTGATTACATTTAAGTAGCCCTGACGTTCTTACGGTTCCTACGGACGTCAGCGTATCGATTTTCTAAGATTCTATGGAAACAGTGACGTAAGAAATGACGCAAATATACGAAACATGGCGCGGCTACCAACTCTTGGAGAAGAGTCTACGTAAACCTGATAGTATATACTATTCCGACAAACGTAGATACCGATTTCTACTTTTGATTGCCGTATTCTTGAACGTTGGAAGATGTCAACGACGCCAAGGAAAGACGTTGTCAGATCTGACCAGGTGACATGGGTGATCCATAGGTAAGAACTTAAATCTTGCTTTAATTGTCATCAAAAAGTACAAGTCAAGTGATGGTTCGAGATGTTCTTCCTTAAGCAACAGATTTGTAAAAAGGTGTGTGGTCCTACTATGGGGTATCACAAGATACTGGAACAATGTTGCGGCATCTCAGATTCAGGTAGTATTCTTTAAATATTACATTAACCTTAATAGGTGTTAAGCACATAGTATATGACCTGATGACATGCTACATATACATTGAATGGGAGTCTACTTAAATTGAAAAAATATAGATAAGTAATCGAATGAGATGTGAATGTTGGTATGAAATACAATGTAAACAAATGCAATTTTGGTAAGGTAAAAGTACAATAATGGTAAGGTAAAACACATGGTTGCAAGTGTAGAAACACAATACAACTTAAGTCCTTCTTGTGATATTATTGTCAATGACGGTTCAGCGGATGGTCTCGAATGTTTCTAGTCGCATACTCATCTAAGTGAAAAAAGAAATTCAAACGATTGTAAAATGTATCGTTACATAACTGCGTGATAAAGCTGTTAAATATCCCTTAAGACGTAGATAAACAATCTTAATAGAAAGGTCATGGGAACCTACGTCTAATAATTTATATGTGTTTTATGTTATAGCTGTGCGTTTTTAACAGAATTAAATCAACTGAATTTATTCAATATAATGCAGCTGACAAGGTATTGAAAAGTAAATATATATTATAATTATGTTATCAATTTTATATTTTAATAGAACTTTCTCCTGTTATTATAATTGGGAATTTATCATCGGGTAATTGGCTTTATCAGAAAAGCTATATATCGAGAATATTGATAATTGCCTTGTTGGCATTTCTATCCACATCCAAGAATAGTCTCTTAACATTCGAGTTGGCTTTTGACATTTCCCACAAAGATTTAATGAATACTTGGTATTTCTCGTAGCGCGATTTCTCTAAGATTTAGATGTTTAATTATCTACAATTGCCCCTGAAAATGTCTATTACAGCGTAAGATATCGAACCGAAACACATTGGAATTCTACTAAGACAACGTGTACAAATGTCAAAAGTGAGATACTAACAAAAATTGAGAGTGTATTTAGAGATTTCACCTCGTGACATTTAGGGAGACGAGGCAAATTGCGCCACTGATAAGGTGGGTGAGCCTTCATTTAAAGGTTAGTAGGAATTTGTCTCTCTCTTGGTCGACAGAAGATGTTAAAGTAAGACTCTTTACTTAATATTTCTCAAAACGAATTGGTTCAACGTCGTTATAATCTACCGATGGGGGGTGTGGTTGTACTCCCTTGTGCTATCAACACGTACGGTAAGTGTAATTAAACTGTTTGTATTTATTTCTTCATGGTGTAAAGATTGTTTTGAGGAAAAACTTTTATAATCGAAGTCAAAATTCAAGTCGAGTTCTCTAAAATGAAACTGGAAAATACATACATACACCAAATGCTAGTGTACCTGAAAATGGATTATACCACAAGTTACATGACAATGGAGATATACTTGACTCACCTGTTGGATTTTACTTCACATGGATAATTATGGATTAAAAGATTATTACATACACCACTTGGATTACAAAACAGTATAACATGGAATATATTACGTCACCAAAAAGCGATCAAATTTGGATTATATACTTAAAAAACAATGAGGACGCAAGGCAGCACTTTTACCCATTAAAGACTTCTGCAATTTGTCTGCAAAGTGTTCCCTAGATAGCAAAAACCTAGAACTACAACTTAGCGAAAACCATATGAAAATCGTACCAGGAATAACCGAAGCAAGACAGTGCAAGTTCTACAAAAGCATAAGTTCCGCGTATAGCGCATCTCACTTATTAATTCCTCTGCTACAATGCAGACCATACAGGCATTTATAAACAAGGAACTTAAAACGTTCGACGTCATATCAACTAATAATAGCACTTAGTGGGATTTCCCAGTTTCCTTTTACGTTTTGTACCTATTTCTGGATATATTACTAGTTTATCCTCACCTATCTCTACACCTGTATTAATTTAATGTTGTGATTGTCTTTGTTTTACAACTGGGGACTAATACATTTAGGAAATTTGAGTGTATTTTAAAATTAAGATCAAAAGAATGACCACATAATTAATGCACATCGCAAACAGTTGTTAAACCTAGATATTTTTATGATATTTGTTCCGATTTCAGAACGAGTGCAGTTTTTATCACCGGATTGTGTATACGTGCAATATATGTTTATATTTACTTATTAATGTGCTTATTAATTATGACTCGTGATTTTCCTCTTGCATTTATGAAGGCATTGAGTATTCGAACACCTTCATAGCCTTTTTTCAATCCATGACCAATGCGCACGATCCGTGTGGTTCAAGCAACACGTTTTCATGATAATGTGGGTCGAGTGTAATTTATTCGACCTATTCTTCATTGAATCAAGTTTTTTATGTATCTTACACAACATTAAAGGGAGGTTAAGTTACACGTTTTCAAGAGAACCTGTACGTCTCCAGATACGCCGTAGTTGCTCCTAGTTACAATAATTTACCATATATATCTTCATACTCAGTCGGCCAAGTGAACAGTACAAATGGGAGAACTAATCCATAGAGGATCATAATACGTGATCATACACGTTCATGCACAAGTTTTAAAAAACGTGTACCTTAACCCTCCCTACTAAAACTGTACTACGTGATCATCAATGTTCTTCCAAATGACCGTCAACAAGGTCATTAGTGTAATTTGTGCGACCACTGTACTTAATGTACCTTTATGCAACTTGGTTGTGTTTTCCATGCCACGAGGCCACTTCAATGCAAACAATCCCAATGACCGTTTATTCACTATAGGTTGTTTCGTTTATTCAGTTGCAACAGTATAAATTAATATTTAATCAACTCGCAATTATACAAACAAATGAACAATGTATACTTTATTAAATTATTAGATAAAGCATGTCTTAATGAAGAGCCTTGTCAGTCAGATACCTTGAGTAGGATTCAATCAATTCATTTGACAGAGTTAAGTGTATGGTTATGATTTATTAATGAAATATCTAAAGAAAAAATAATGAAAACGACCAGAAGAATATAAATTATATTAATCACGAATTATTCAAACAATAAACAAATTTAGTTTTTAAGGCTGGGGTATCGCTCATGTCACCGAAATTGGAATCAAAGGAATTATTGATGGTCTGTGATCTAAAAATACTTCTCTTATATAAATATGTTCAAATGTGGTATATTTTTGGGTTAATCGATCCGTTAATGGCTAAAATTAAACACTTTGTCATAAAAACAGGAGATACGCGAGGATCTGGGAACAGACGCAACCCGTTTCATATTGATTGCTTGTGACGTAAATGCGCCAATAAGTAGGCCCTTGAAACTTACCGTGATAACAAATACACATATGCCTTAAAAATCGTGCTAAAACATGAAACTATAAATCTAAACATACGATCTTTAACTCTTTAAATTGTGTTTAGAAATTCTCATGAAAATGCCCCTGCAGCTTGATAGAGCAAACTTGAAAATTTCAATTGGTGAGAAGGAATCAAATGCAAGGAAACCAATATAGCATCGAGCTTCTGATGGGTAGACGCACTCACATGGGGAACTAGCGGGACTACGTCAGAGGTACTCTAATCAATGCTTCTGCATCACACCGCATAATATATCACCAGTTCTATCCCGTAATCTAATAACCCCTTCATCGATTTCCTCTTTCGCAGTCGTACCTACGTCATTCCGATATTCGAGGCACTTATAACGCGGTTCTGAAATTGCTGGCCGTGAAATATGAACCTAAAAATAGATATGCGGCGGGGGAGGTATACGTAAATAGGACACGAAACCCAGTCTTGGAATAGAAACAAAACACTAAACAAATCAAATTGGAGATCATTTTTCTCATATAAACACTTGTTCCTGACCTCAACCTCCTCACCTCTTTCAGCCATGTCTATTTCCCGATTCTGTGATCCATGCTTGATATATTACTTTATAATGGCAAATGCATTGCTAAAACAACCATATTTTTATGAGGTAAATTAAAGTCAAATTCCTCATGGACTAAATTTTGGCAATAGTACTGTTAATAGGTGGATAAAATGGAAACTTTGCTATTAGAAGGCTATTGATGGGACAATATTTGTGTCGAACTTGTTGATGATGATATGATGATGGTTGACGAAATCACTCTTGATCGCCCCAATATGGTGTTCGAAAAGTATGTCGATATAGGTGAGAAGGCTATATCGATGATGCTTGTGAAGTCAGCTGTTTGGGCAAATATAGTTAATGTCCCTTGTATGTGTTTTATTGGTGTTGATGGACAAATATGGTGAATTCATCGTTTGGGCATTCTGATACTCATAACATCTTCTGTTTAACCTGAAACATCTCAGGGCTGAGAAGAAATGAGATGTCATGGTTTATCATGCTGTCGTTTTGGAATGATTTGGGATTTTCCACAGTAAGTTTTGTTTCGATTGGGACTGTACTTGTGGTGACATTGTGTGTTATCAAGGACATGCATGAATGCAGTTTGGTTAATGATTGAAGCGCTTCAAAATGTCTTAACTATGTAACGAAGAAATAACTGTTGCTATGGTAATTCACAATTAAATCTATAGACATATAAATAATACTATATGTCTGTTCAAAATAATCGATGAGAAAGACACACTGTTCTACACGTTCAGAAATCAAGTATGGGTTATGAGTCATTTGGCTGTGTTGCGATCTGACAAAATGCCATAGAAACAATCAACCAAGAATTTTCCAATAAATAGTCTTAAAGGAATCATGAATAGAGATTTCCACCTGTTGTGCTAGTCTCAGCTGAGTTAACTGGGTCATTGCCATGTTTTATTTACCTCCAATTAATACTCAAATCAGGCGAAGATAACAGATCTGTACCAATACATGCTAAAAATAAACAAAAACACGAGTATTGGGTATAAATAGTGATGCGGTTCCCATATAAGGTGAGGGGGAGTTCCCAAACGCGAAGAAACTTAGCAGGGATGCTATCAATTCCTGTACTCCGTACTCGATTGCAGCAGATTCTCTGCAAAATATCGAGCGGTGCTAAAAATATCCGTTCCTTACGACAGTTCCCGATTGAATACGTAAAGCAGTAAGGTAGAAGGCAAGTGAAGAACCGACTTATGTTAATACTTTATCGACCTTCTCTCCTAGAACTATAATATTGATTACTGACGGTGTATATTATGTGCTAATGTTGTGCTTGTTCTATGTTTAGTTGCAAGAGGGGGAACTCCGATGTCGTCAAATACCCCAGTGACGTTACTGCAACGAAGCAGTCGTGCATTGACGGACAGCGGTATTACAAGCACACTGGAAATTATCTATGAGCCAATAGTAGCACCGCCATATAGCAGACTAATTACTAGGAATGCATATTGTAATGCAGTGACGTCAGGGATGACGCTGCTCTACGTCACTCACGGTTCCCCGGGACCTGCCTTACGATGATAGTGAAATATATACTAACCATGTTTCAATTTGCCCTGAGAATTGTAACGTTGAGCACGAAGACGGACGGTGTGTGGTGGGCAATACATTCATGCGTTATCAGAACACCGAGTGGATTACAGGAGCTGATAGTGAACTGGAATCGGGAGGTTGGGTCAGGGCATACGGCACTTCACCCCCCAAGCCAGGTAAGTCTATGATCATTATCAGCTGTCTTTGAAATTTCACACCTGTTCGTGTACACATAGACAATATATAAACAAAATAAATCATACACTATAATATAATATCAGCATAAACAATACATGATTTTAAGCGCACAACTGCGAGCACGATGACAAATAATATTCATTTGAGAGCATTCTAGCATAATTCTTTTTACCTGACCTCAGCTGACCTCAGAACTTTCCACAAGACGTTGTCATTTTTTATTTAGATTCATAAATCATAAAGTTTAATGATAACTATTAGTTGCAAAGTATATTTGTGAACACTTTTAAAGTAATTTATCCCCGTCCAGAATTATTGCTTATTTGAGAGAATCTAGCTGTGTTTTCCCCGGTGACTTATATAATTTTATAGATTGTTATGTAACACGATATCTCCCCCACCAACAAGCCGATCCGAGTGGTTCTTTCTATATTTAAGTGTTCATATGTATTAAAAATATCTATTTAACATTAAGCATAGTATTCAAAATACGAGGGAATTATAACGGATTTAAGATGGTGAATTAAGACTGGATAATCATAAGGACTGATCGATTATATGCCGTATTATTGGAAAGACAAAGTTGTTGCGTGGATGTCTTGGCCTCAACAGACAGTTGCAGTTGGACCCGTAAATAAAGAATTCGTAAACAAACACCGAGAACTAGTAAACGCGCAATATTTGGAAATGGATTATTTTTCTCGACCTGGAATCTTGGAAAATATATAGTCGAAGGATATTCAAGGTGAACTGAATAGGATGCAAGCTTGTGTAGTTTCACTGATGCGAGACGTGCGTATGAGCGGAACATGCACCAAACCAGAACTTGGACATTCGAAAGAAAACAATTAGAACTTAAGATTGAAAAAATCAGGAACTAGGTCAAATGTAATTAATGCATTCTCAAATTACGTTAACTAATTGCTTTTTACAAAGCCATTTTGGATACACGACAGAACATGGGTGGATCCGGAGTTGATTTTTGTTTGATCAATTCACTCGTAGACAGTAAAACCAAAATGGGCCAACCTAGTTTGCACGTTTTATACTTTTGATGAGGTTTATTTTGTGCAAGATTACTGCCCTATCAGTTGATCGTTCAGGGAGTTAGTCAGAAGGCAAACATTCGGCATATACTGTATACACAATCGGGGAGTATCCACTTATACGACTCTAACAACAGTATCATATACAAATGCACCATGGCTGGTCCCCTGAACAATAATTGCATTTAAACATTTATGAATTGATTCATTAAAATATATATGCATATTAGGAGGACTAGATGTTATCACCTACTAAACGATTATAGCGCACATGCGTATTTAAGAACTGAGGATACGAGAGAAAACGATCACTGCATTGAAGATGTCCTCTCCCAGGTTCTGCTTCAAGGCTGATCTACGTCACACATAAGGAGCTGAGGGGGTAGTTTCTACTTAGTTACAACACAGCCCAAGAAGAAGTCGATCGCTCATTTTTATTAGTTAGATAATTACACTACTGACTAAGAAACAGTTTTCTTACATCAATCAAATAATATACGTTCAACAATAAGTTCTACGTGTTGGATACTAGAGCGGACGGCATTGTACAGTACCAATGTGACTTTATTTGGGAGGTTCCATTCACACTTTAGAGACATTAAACGCAGTAGAGGATAAACGCTTATTTGATGCTCACTGAAAAAACAAAGCCAGGGGATAATATTGAAGGTAATTATTCTCAAAATAAAGGGGCAATAAGGATTTACCTTGGAATTTTATCTATTCTATATATTTATTTAAAAGCAATCAGATGTACCAGGATTAAAGGATATTTAAAATTGTTCACACAGTGAGAGGTGACGTTGTTTATAACCAAAGTTCTTTGTGACCGATGTTCGACGTCGTCATTAGGGAGTTTAAGTTTGCATATAAAATCGAAACGCCAACCTATACGTATGACCAATCGCCCATACAAATGCGTCGCTTAAATATTTTCCGTTCACGTTTAGGTTGTAAAAAACATTGCAAGCTTAAACTCCCTATTGTTTATAACCACCGTTTTTGTGGGCCGATGTTCGACGTCGCTTTCTGTAACAGTACACTTTTTCATTTGATGATGGCCTTTTCAGATTTAGAGGATTTTTATTGGTTATATCCTTTAAATATCAAGGAAATATTCAAGTAAATTCAATATCTATGTTCTTAAGTTCACATTTTCATTGATCAAGGATAAATCCGTCAAAATTCTGGTAAAAGAGAGTATTCTTGAGACTAATTAAAGTCCCTAGGAGCATCTTTTTTAAGTGCACATTTTAGAACAATATTTTGAATACTTTTGTAATTAAAAACCTTGTAAATATTACAGTTAAAAATATTCCAGAAATACGAGCCACGGTGTATTATTAACGTTCTAACAATTTCAACTGTACAAAAGCAAAAATGTACATTGAACAAAAATGCGCCAAATACTTAAATCAGATCATTTTAGAGAAGAATTTTGTGACCATGGATTTGTCGCTTTGGGCATAACTGCTTCTCGCATCACAACTAAAGGTAGATGAACGTAATCAACTATGTTCAAGTGAATAATCATTGAACCATGGCCAATTTCCAAGTGAAACCGTGCAAACTTGATGACTATTACTATTAGAAATATGCATATCTTAACGATGCATTTGTTGTTTGTTTGGAATGTATTCATTTTTACAATTGTTTTATTTGTACTTATTATAACGTGTTTTATGAGCTTAGAAGCAAAACAAACATTGATCTGGTCCTTACGTCTCTTTCTTGTCAGTGCGACGTGAATATTCATGATGTTTGTTATTCCTGGAAAATCTAGCATCCTTTTTTATTTATTGAAATTCACACATGTTTTCTGAGTATTCGACCAGAACAACAATGGCGTTTTTGATAGCATTTTGAATGACAATTTCATAAATAAACTGTTGTTTCAAGAGCGATTTTTATTGATGTAGACCTATATAACACATATTATCTGTCATATATTAGATTGTTTATTACTATTAATTGCATGGGTATTGGTTCCTCTAATGGTTATTCGGAGTGATTAAAATGCAAATTGATAATTATATTATTTACTTCATCAATTTGTTTAGAATCAGCTTTATTTGTTCGTAAATGGGACTTAGCCTTGTCGTGAACATAAAAATGCACGTTTATTGCTTATATTTATCAGAAGCCCTGACATCCAGTCAGTATATATACAAATCAATAAATTAAAACATGTGACTAAAAAGGAGCATGGTTAACCAACAGCAAATGTCAAATGTATGATGATCCTACGATGATTCCTTGTCTCAGTCGTATACGTACTAATAGCGCTATCAAGGCGTAGGCGTCTCCAGATCACGCTTATCGTATTTAGAAACAGCGATGCACGGACTACGTGCAAGTCAATCAATAGAAAATATGAATGTGTCTTTTTATGATCATTTCAATTGTTATTGTATCGTGATCTTGATCGATTCACGGCATCGTGAAAGTCAATGGATAGTGATCAGGTCCTTAGCCAGCTTTTGCCAAGGGGTTCCTTTTTCAAAAAATTCCAGATGGATTCACATTTGACAACATTGGCCCCAAACCACTCGAAACTGCTCAGAGTGGTGAAAAACTGCATGATTTTGAAAGGATTTATGGCCAATTGTAGGGGGATTCACGCTATCTACGGGTCTGATGGTAACCCAAATCTAACAGAATTTCCGCAGTTTCACGCACAATGTTCTCAATGTTTAACCGATCATCATTTTCCGATTTTCTTATTTTGTATTCCACGTGGGGTTGTCCCAAGTTACGGAGAATTAATCATCGACGTCAAAATGGGTTAATGGAACCTAAAAGTTCAGCCAAGTTAATACGATCGGATATTGCCGTAATGACTGGGTTTTATACCTGTTATTTTTCAATACATTTCGAGGTTCACTAATTTGAGAGATTAAATTACTTCTCTCTTCCGATGAGATTTATTTACCATGAGTAGAAATGCGTCTGATAACAAACTAAATTTGTAAAAAATGAAACTAGCTCATCTCGAGGCCCATGGTGCCAATTACCGATGTTCACAGATAGGCACGAGGTGTTATTTTCGAACGAAGTAGGGGTCGCCCATCGGACTATTCACACCTGTCCCTAACTGTCTTCCAAACGTTTTTACATTCTACGAACAGTTTTGCAAATAATTCATGATATTGAGCTCTAAGTAAGAAAACAACGGTTTATAGGTTGAGTTTTATTATGCCTATATTTTAAATTTATATTTTGTTGATTTTAATGTTTTATGTCTTTTTTAAAGTGATTCTAGTTTTATTAGGGGTACCACCGTATTACCTGCGTGTACCTGAGACTCAATATATATAGCATCGACTTACCAAATGCTTTACCTTACCTAACACATTGCTCCTGCAGAATGTCAAGAAATATTTGGAGGTTTTGATATGTTTACGTGAAAAAATATATTCCAAGGTTAATTCGTGGGTTTCATATAATTGCAACATCCGTAATTCATGCTTGCTATTTGTTCAATTCAATGCTATGCTCATTGACAATAACATCCTGAATGAGTTAGCAGTTTCATTTTTGTAAGGGCACCCGACTTACCATGGCCACTTGCTTCCGTTGCCATGGTTACCGTATACTTGGCGGACCGCTTTCTAGAACTTCTTTTTTTAGATAATAAATTAGCGAAACGCTGAGGCTCATGTCAAAAAGAAGCATCTCTCTTCTTGCCTAATTTATTAGTTCTTACGTCTGTGTATATACGCATACGTAGATGAGCGATCACTTTCAAGTAGTTGCTAGTATAAAATAAGCATTTACAGGTTTTGGGGATAAAGCATTCAAACAACCACCACCTACAGAACACTCAATGTACACATCAATACAAAGCGATGCTGAAATCAGTTTAATTAATTATCAATTCTTTAATCTATTCAAAATTTACCATTAATTCGTGACTTCAAGTGGGTAAACAC